CAGGGTTTTATTCGTATATGTGCGCGCGCGCGTGGGTGCGTGTGAACCTGCGTGCGTTTGGGATCGTACGCAAAGCCCGTACCACTTTCAAGGCAATCGGGTTTTTTGTACTGATGCAACACCAAAGACCACAAGTTGCACGCAAAGAAAATATAGAAAAAGACAAACAATACCTCTCCCCCCACCCCACCCCAAAAAAGAGAGAGCTTCGTCACAAAATATTATCTTGAGAAAAAGGGAGGGGGGAGGGGGAGGGGGAATAACGTGTACAGGGGGAAATCTTGTGAATGTGCTTGTTTCTTTTTTTTTTAGGATCGCTGGGAGATGCTTGCGACCTCGACGGAGAAGCATCCTGTTTTTGCTGCCTCTCCTCCCTCTTCCTCTCATACTCCTCCATCTTCTCCTCTCCTCTCTCTTTTTTTCTCGCCTTGCTCTTTTCCTTTTTCTCTTTCCCACTCTCTTTCCTGTTCCCTTTCCATTCCCCTGTCCTTCTCCTTCCTCCTCTCCCTTCTTTTTCTTTGTCCTATTTTCCCTGTTCCTCCTCTTCTTTTTTTTCAATTCCCTTCTTTTCCCTGTTCCTCCTCTTCTTTTTTTCAATTCCCTTCCTTTTCCTTCTCTTCCTTCCCTTTCCTTTCCATCCCTTTCCTTTCATTTAATTTCTTTCCCTCCTCCTACCCCTTTCCCTTCCCCTTCTCTGCCCACTCTTCTTCCTCCCTCCAATTCAATTTCTCTCCTTCCCTCTCCAAATGCTTTTCCCTCTCCCAGTACAATGCGTGAATGCGTGTACGTTCCCTTGCGTATGCGTGCCTTTGCTTGCGCCTGCTCTCGTCCGCTTGCTCGGCCTCAGTCCAGTTGCGTGGGCCACGGTTCGACTCGAGTGAGCGTGGAGCCCCGTCCCTCTTTCCGTTTCCCTTCGTCCATTCACTTTCCATACTCTCACACTTCTCCCTCCACTTCCCTCTTACTCACCCTATCTCCCTCCCCACTTCCTCTCCTTGTATTCTCCCTATCTCCCTCCCCCATTTCTCCCTTCCTCCCTTCTCCTCCACTCTCTCCCTATCTCCCTCCACCATTTCTCCCTTCCTCCCTCCCTTCTTCCTCCACTTTCCTTCCTCCCACCTCTCTGAAGCTGGATTTATCACATCATGCAACACGAGAATGAAGCCCTAGTTGTATTTTTTTTACTGGTCCCCTTCGTCGAATTCATTTATCAACCTTTTCATTAATTAATTGTCTATTTACTTCATTTATTTGTTCAATTGCTATTAATTTATGTACTTATTTCCCATTTATTAATTTCTTTATTTTTTCATTTATTTACCAATAGTTCTCATATATATATTTACTCATTTCCATTTATCTTTTTACTTATCTTCAGCATTGGCTCATCATATCTATTTGTTTACTTCTGAAATTATACATTATCTTCTCATTCCCGACCAATTCATCTATTCAGAATACTTCTCTCAATGCAAATACAATCTGCAAAATCAAGACCTTTAAAAACATTAATAACCACATCACCAAAACACACAAACGCCAATGACACAAACAAGTCTCCAGTGCTGACTCCCAAGAGATATAAAACACGTATATTTACGCACACGCACAACACACACACAAAAAAAAAAAAGGTGAACGTGAACCGAGAAAGCGCGTGGGAACCAGCTTCTACAACGCACGGGCTAGATCGACATGTTAGGGTATGACGCAATCGATTTCTCTTTTTTGTCTTTTTTTTATTCGTCTATTTTATATCATATATTTAATGATCTATCTCAACATCCTCCTCCACTCTTTCTCTCTCCCTCTCCCTTTATCCCTCTAACCAGTCTCCTTCTCCCTACTCCCTTACCTATCTCCACTCCACCTCCCCCTCCCCATCCCTCTCCCACTCCATTTTTCGCTCTCACCTCACCTCACCCTCACTCTCCCCTCTCCCTCTCCCACTCCCCTCGTCCCCCCCTCTCCTTCTCCCCTCCTTCGCCGTCCCCTCCTCTCCCACTTTCCCTTCCCCCTCCACTCTCCCTCCCCGTTTTTTTCACCGCATAATAGCAACTGGTTCGGCAGCAGGCGGTCAAACACAGATGGTTGCGCTGTTGCGAAAGTGATCGGAGGGGGGAGGGGGGAGGGGGGATGGTTTCCTATCGTTCGCGTATAAACTTCATCGACTGCTTGTTTGCTGTGTAAACGATCCGTTGATAGTACTATTCACTGATCTATATCAAAGGCATTACTCGCACTGACACTCGCATCTGTGAAATGAATTTGAAATCGTTAATATCCACGCGTCCAACAACATATGTTCGCCCACTCGTTAATTTCTCTCTCTCTCTCTCTCTCTCTCTCTCTCTCTCTCTCTCTCTCTCTCTCTCTCTCTCTCTCTCTCTCTCTCTCTCTCTCTCTCTCTCTCTCTCTCTCTCTCTCTCCTCTCTCCTTCTTTTCTTCCTTCCTTATTCTTATTATTACTTATACTCACACTCACTCTCATACGCTGCTACACATATATATGCATAGATAGACACCACACACACACACACACACACACACACACACACACACACACACACACACACCACACACACACACACACACACACACACACACACACGCACATCAACGAACGTACCCACACGCATGCACGCTCACTCTGCAAACAAACCGGCCACACCCACTCATATTCAGGAAAATGATGTGCTACTCCTGTGATGTTTACATGTCGGTAAGATAAGCGCTATCAGGCCATACGCGATGATTCACCTTTCACTTTTATTTTGGAAAAATATTACAAAAGGGGCGAAGCTAGTCGTCGCACGCGTATTAATCAATATAATAATAATAATGATAATGATAATGATAATAACAATAACAATAATTACGGTAATCTAATAATAATTATAACAATAATAATAACAATAATTAGAATACAATTACAATAATAATAATAAAATAATAACTAATAATAATAATAATAATAATAATAATAATAATAATAATAATATAATAATAATAATAATAAATAATAATAAATAATAATAATAATAATAAAATTAAAAAAAACATGGAGGAGTTAATGGTATTAATAGACCAATAATAATAATAAGAAGAAAAGAAGTTAATGGTAATAATAAAACAATAATAATAATAATAACAGAAGAACCAAAAACAACAACAACAGCATTTTCAAAACTTGAAAGATTATGCAAATGCTTCTTCTTTTGTAAGAAACACATATCTGTATAAAATATTAATTAATGAAATAGAATCACGTGACTATGACGTAATAAAAACTAAAAAAATAATCAAAATAATTGCTTTCGGTAATTACTTGCTTGCCGTAATCAACTTCACTCTCAGTTAATGACACCCCGAGATTTCAGAGGAAATAACTTATTTTACAAACTTTCTCTCTCATTACACTCACCATATTGTCCTGAAGAGATGTCAGTCACTTTATCAGCAACCATATTGTAATAATCCACAAAAGGTTCGGTCCGAAGATATATAAATAAGGCACTACACTCGTAATAAGCAATACATTTAGATTGAACTTTGAACAATGAACTTGGGCGCTCGCAGGGTAACTCTCTGGCGATGCTCACTAAACACTTTTGAAGATGCTCGATTGTCGTACGAAACCCGTTCCAACTCTTGTACTCGGTTTAGGTTATCGTACCAATCGTTTTCACTTTGTCTTTCTGTTCTCTCTCTCTCTCTCTCTCTCTCTCTCTCTCTCTCTCTCTCTCTCTCCTCTCTCTCTCTTCTCTCTCTCTCTCTCCTCTCTCTTCTCTCTCTCTCTCTCTCTCTCTCTCTCTTTCTCTCTCTCTCTCTCTCTCTCTCTCTCTCTCTCTCTCTCTCTCTCTCTCTCTCTCTCTCTCTCTCTCTCTCTCTCTCTCTCTCTTTCTCTCTCTCTGTTTCTTTCTTTCATATTTTGTTTCTGGGATTAGTGAAAAATCTTTGTTTGAATTCAGTCTTTATGTATGTTCCTTGAATAGGTATTTCGAACGAGACAGAAAAGGTTTATTTTAGTTTCTAGGATATGGATAATACGAGTAACTTCTAGGAGACTGTGCAATTGTGTTGCTCAGATACAAATTGCACAAACTTTAGATTCTGCAAATAAATACACGAATAAAGATATCATAAATAATATACATGCACAAGTAAGTGCGTACGTGAACGCACATATATATATATATATATATATTATATATATATATATATATATATATATATATATATATTATATTTGTGTGTGTGGTGTGTGTGTGTGTGTGTGTGTGTGTGTGTGTGTGTGTGTGTGTGTGTGTGTGTGTGTGTGTGATGGTCCAAAAGAGAAATCCTCAGTTAACCTGTCACTCACTAGAAACGTCAGTCGCTTGCATGTATTCTTACCAGGAACAACTAATGAAATTAGCATCTTCCTTGAAAATATTTTTTTTTCAGTTCTACCAACTGTAAATCTAACCAAGCAGTTTTAATGCCGAAATGTAGAAAGTAGTGTTTCTCTGCAGTTGTTTGTATATATTGACGTTTAAAGGTCCGCATTGAGATCATATGAATAAATGGAAATATTTGTTCGTTATTGTACATCTGTCTTCACCTGTCAAGGTCATGGACGTGAATAATATTTTCATTTCTTTTCAAAATGCTTCGTACAGTGTAAATTTCTAGTATTTTCCTTCTAAGTAATTACGTAAGATTACATCACTAGATTTACCTCTAAATAATATAAAATATGGAGGTTTGTGAAGGTAAGGTAGAAGTAGATATTATATGTTTATTTCCCTTTTATTTGCAAGAGAACAAAAGTCATTGAAAATATTTCCGTTTCCATTGTTCTCAGAAACGTTTGTTTTGGTATCAGGACAGTAGTATAAGGTAAAGTATACAGGATATCTCTGATTATGTGTAAACATAAGAGCATCGTAAAAATGATTCTATAACAATCTAATAGTTCTCGTTGCCTATTGAATTGATGAGTGTTATATAATCGTTTTGTTGCATATGGTTTATCAAGTTTATATTGCATGTGACTGCTGATCGTCCACAGTAAAAATAAAATCAAAATTTTTGCCTTGGAAAAGTTGATGAACGGACGAAGATTTACATATGATATAATATAATACGAGTGAATATATTTTCCCACCAGGATGGTAAGTGAACGTGTATGGTACTAATGGGTAAATAGTTGCAAACTTCAATGTTCAACTCTGGCTAGGAATATTCAAGACAGGATTAAATCCTGCATAAGTGAGGCAAGGTGGTTGGATTAGACTTTGGGTAATTTTTGGGAATACGTCCGCCTAACGGATCGCGACGATTTCGGTATCATTGGATTCCTCTCACTGTTTAGTTTCCAAATATATGGAAATTATTACGGGGAACCCCCAAACCCTCCACATTCTTGGACCCGATAACGGGGGAGGGCTTCAAAGGTACCAGGGAAATTATGGGGTAAAATGCAAATGATATACACAGAATTAGTCACTATATTGTCCCTGCAACCCCCGCCCCCATTGGGGGCTGCCACTCCCCTAACCCTGCCCAGGAAAACAAATTATCCTCCATATATTTATGGCGGGAGAGAGTGTCAGACAGACTTGGCAATGCCTCTCCCGCATGGTGGTCATACACTCATGTTTGCTGTGAGTATGTGGAGGATTCTTTGTTTTAATGGGTTATTGGGGCTAAGAATGTGGGGGTGGGGGGGGGCATCCGCACAATAAGACCTACATATTTGCGTTGTAGACAGTCAGAGGAATCCAACGATACTGAAATCGTCGCGATCCATTAGGCGGATGTATTCCAAAAAACTACCAGCCTTTGTATTGCTTTGACATCAAGTGGGCAATGTTGAACACTAAATTAAAATAAAAAAATAAGATCATGGTAATCTTTTGGCTTTTCACAGCCATCGAACCTATGATTTTTTTTTTCAATTATTCTCTGAGTAATGTGTATGACTCTGTTATTGGTTTCCATTGGAAATGACCCATTCACGAAATCTGTGAAATTATTGGTATTAATGAAGTGACCACACTTAATGGTTAATGGTAGTATGCTTAAAGAAATTGTGGAATCCACTCTTTGAAGCACAAAATTCTCTACTAATGATAATACCACAAAAAATCAACTGGTATACCAAAATAAGGCAAGTGGATAAGAACATTGTATTTTTGAAACTGACAGTCCTAAAATTATGTTACGACTTCCAACTGCCGTGAAGAGAAAATTGTGCCAAGAACTGATATGCATTACTCAAATTTCTCTAAGCATATGGCCATAAGTCCAAATTATGCCAGCCAACAAAATGGGAATCCACAAACATTACTGCATGAACCAGAATCCTACCTAATCCAAAATCCCACCCAATCAACAAGGACTTGGCTTATGCTCTGCACAGAATTTGTTGCAATTAATTTTCTTCATTTCTGATGTTCTCATTTATCTGTGTAGATTATTTCAAGTGTCTGTAAGTGTAGTTTTTCCCTCTCTTTATGTCAGTGTTTTTAGATTTTTCCCTATCTTCAGTATGAAACTGAAAGCTATAGCAAAATTTTGTTCATGGTTTAAAACTTCGACATGCTGGTAATGAAATGGTGTATTATAATAGAGTTTTGACCCTGCTATGAAAGTTTATTTTAATAACATGTCATTGAAAAAGATTCAAGACTTATCATCAAACATGCAGTTTTAAAAATTAGTAAATTTGCTTGTTCAAGAAACTGTTCATTGTGTTACATGGTTACAAAATTGTATATTGTTTTCAAAAAAATATTTGAAGCTTCAGTATTTTGAAACATTTGTTGGATTTTTTTCATAACCTAAACAAACCAAAATAGGAAGTACAGAGGAAATGGATTTGGGATTTTTGTTTTTCATCACAATGTGCAGTGGAAGAATGTGAGTGTAAAAAGTTGCAGTCCTATGGCTCATATATTTTTGTTATTACAAAGTAGTTCTTGAAATATTCCTTTTTCTATAAGATTCATATTTATGATGCAAGATAATAGAACACCAGCTATTTTTCAGAGAATAGAAAAAAATAACAATATAAGAAAGGGAAGCTGGAATTTGCATTTAATGAGTAATGCCGCTTAAAAGGAGTTTGTATGATGATTCTTGTACCAAGGGCATCATCCTCTAAAATAAAGCCCACCATTCTCTGATGCAAATCTGGAGTTAAACATTGAACTGGTTATTAGATTGTTCATTTATCATCACGTAGGTCTGCATCTTCCCAGACTATAAATTGAAAAGCATTGTTGGCCTTTGAAAGAATGCTTAAGTTGCAGAAGGCCATGGTGAGCACATGAGTATTGTAGGTTTATTTTTGTTGAGGGTCTATGTGCTTACTTTAACTTTTTGCAGATCATTTCCTATATCATTTTTTTTTTATGTTCATTTGGCCACTTAGGGTAATTGTTTAGAATACCTTTGTATGACAGATCACAACGATTTTGGTATGGATGGATTTGTCTCTCTAGTGCATATATAGGCCTTTTTTCCGGTGCCAAGGAGGTGTAGTACTACAGTTTCCTAAAACTCCGCCCCTATTTATGGGGGGGAGTCATATATTTGCAACTGCACCTGGCTGATAAGCACGCGGAGCAACTATGTGCGTTTTAAAACTGAAGAAAATGGGAAGTTCAAAGTTGATGCTACACTGTATGGTGCAACATTAGTAACGTTGATGATGTTAATAAGGATATTATTACATTAAGTACTAGTTTGAAAGTATTTATGCACGCGCGCGCGTGTATGTGTGCGTATATGTATGTATATTATATATATATACATACAGAAATGTGTACATACATACATACCTATATATACAGTACAGAGTACACACACATATATATTTAAACATATGTATACACATGCCATAATATATATATATATATATATATATATATATATATATATATATATATATATATATATATGTATATATATATATATATATATATATATATATATATATATATATATATATATATATATATATATATATATATATATATATACATACATACACACACACATACATATATATGCAGAAATACAATATTAAAAATATACACTACAATCATATAACAATGTAGAGCTAAGCTTTATATGCTTTCGTATTAATAGGACCATGGCTAAGAAGAGCAAGGTTCAGGTTTATCTTTCGTATGTGTTCATTTTTATGCGATATGTCATGTAAGGCTAGTTACTGTTTTTCTTATATCATTTATGCTTTAATCTTGGGCAATATTCAGTCCTCCAAAAGTGTTTCATGACGAATGATATACGGGGAAGTATCTCATGTTTTATTTACAGAATGTGTTCAAATGGTTAAAAGAATATTTTGAAAATTTATATTAGGTTTTACATAATCATTTTACTTATTATGTATGTATAATTGAATATACAGACGTAAACTTATATATCCTTTTGAATGTGGTTGATATCAATCAATAAATAGTGTCATTTTCAAAATATTTTAAAAAGTGTGACCTTCGAAACCAGTGTCGATGGACGAATGAAGAAGTATGATGGGAGGTGCTTGGGGCCCGCACATTTACAACTGATTTCGATAGTTTTCCGTCATTTGATTTGTAAATTGAAGATGTTGATAACTAACAACTTGTATTTATTGTTGTTTCCTAATGGTACATCAGTAAACCAGTGATTTGTCAATTGATACAATTCAAAAACAAAATCAGATTTGTCAACTCGAATACAGTTCCTAGGAATGGGGGTGGAGCTGCTCCTGTGGCAACAGTGTAGAAGCATCGGCAGCGTTTCTGTCGTGATCAGCCTGGAGAAGTGTAGCAAATGAAAAAAAACGACACTTTCTAGTGTAGTTAGACAGTTTCTTGGCACCGGAAAAAAGGCCTTACATATATATGGGAATTATGTTGTGGACCTCCACCCCCCCAACCCCACATTCTTGGCCCTAATAGTAGTGGAGGGCTTGAGAGATACTAGGGATATTGCATGGTAAAATAACAATGATATATAAACACAATATAGATAATACTGCTGCCCACCAACCCCTAACTTAGACAATGAATCCTCCATGTATTCATAGCAGTATAGACCGTATGACCAACATGTGAAGCGAACACAGCAAGATATGGCCTAGGAATTAAAAGTTATTACCCAGATTGATAGATCAGCTAGGAAGGTGCTCAGCTGGGTGGGGGATGGAGCCATAGAATTCTCTCATACTCCATCATGCCTTCTTGTGTGATAGATTCCTTTTTTTCCTGGGTGAGGATTTCCCTGGTGCCTTCCTTGGTGCTATCGTGGCCAAGATTGTGTGTGTGTGTGCGAGCATGCGTGTACGTGCGCGTGCGTGCTTGCGTATGTGTGTGTGTGTGTGTGTGTGTGTGTGTGTGTGTGTGTGTGTGTGTGTGTGTGTGTGTGTGTGTGTGTGTGTGTGTGTGTGTGTGTGTGTGTGATTTGCAACCTTTTGCATGACTCCTGTTGGTTTGTTTTACTTCTTAATGCTATCTCATGGAAATATTCAGACTCTCTTAACTCCTCAGTGATGGGTACAGCTCTAACCATCATAACGAAACACCCCATGACGTGTCATGACTCACAATGGGTGGGCCGGCTAGACAGTTGCATAATATTACATCACAAACAAATCAGGCATCACCATAGGGTTGACACATTCTCTTGGTATCTGACATTTTTACTTTTGATTGTTTTCTTCCCATGTTCCACACATATATATACACAAGTAACTGTTTATGATTTTATGTCAATTCAGATTTCAGAAACAATGGCTAGTCAAGCAGTTAGGGAGAGAAACCCCCATCAGGAGAATTTAAACATTGCAGCAGCAGTGAATGGATCAGGGAAATGCGAGATCCCACCATCTTTAGCTGCATTAACGTCTGTCATCTGTACTCACCAAAACAAGTTGAAGCCAATTGAAGCCAAGTTAAAGGAGCTTTTGTAAGTATACTACCTTTTTTTTTCACCATCACTCACTTTT